ACTGTATAGCGAGACCCTCTCTCAACTGCCTCCACACCATACCAACCAAAAAAAAAGAAAAGAAGTTACGCTTGGATAAAAGTAGCATTCAATTTTTCAATTTTGCAAAAGTTAGAAAGTATTTTCCAAATGGCATTTCCTGTAGCTACTCACCATGAGAGCTGAAAATTTTAACTTAGAGAATCTTAGCATCTGTTGTGAGGAACAATATATAATTTACCTTTTTTTTTAATAATATAGTTTTGTTTTCAGAAAAGCACCAAGGACTGATTTAAATGTGGAAGGTCGCTAAAGTTAGAAAATCATCATTTTACAGCCATACTAAAAACCGAATCATATAACCATTAGATTTAGTATTTAACACTTAGAGTGCTATATTTAGGGGAGAAGTCTTGATGAAGCAGCAGGGTATTTGCATGCTTTCAGAGTAACCACCGCACAGACTGCTTTTTTTTTTTTTTTTTAACAAGGGGAAAAAAGCAGTGAAACAGTAGAGAAGTTGGACAGTACCTTGATTGAGTGATCAAAGTTAAGAGCACCATTGAAAGATTGGCAATCATGTACCTTTAAACATGATTCCCTGAGGACGCTTCGCCACATTTGTAGTGTAATAGTTGAGAATGTATAACCTCACTGTGGTCTTGGGAACCTGTAAGACAAACTTAAACGAGGATTGTTCTCTGTAAAAAAGGATGAGGAAGAAGGCAGAGGGTGTGGCACAGTAGTGGAACACTTGTGTAGCGTGCACAATGCCCTGGGTGTTTGATCCCTGGCACTGCAAAAACAAAAAAATACACAAAATAAGAAGGAATGAGGAAGAGAGCTAGATTTCTAAAGTATCAATAGCGTAAAGGACAGTTGAAAGCTCTGGATGTGTTCCAGAATGTAAGATGTGAAAGAGACATGAAAACTAATGCAGTATCTGACCCTGAACTGGATCTTATATTGGAGGGGGAAATATGCTATAAAGGACATGACTGGAATAACTAACAAAATTGCAGTATTTACATTAGATGCATTAACAATGTTATATTAGTGTTAAATTTGTTGACCCTCATAACTGCACTGTTGTTATGTAAGAGAATATTCCTACTGAGAGGAAATGTATTCTAAGTAGATAGCATGAAGGACCACAGCATGTATAATTTGCCATCAAAGATTTCAGCAACAAAAATCAGTATAGGAGGGAAGAGATTCTACTATTGTTACTTTTCTAATTTGGGAATAGGTTTTTCATTATTCCCCATTAAAAAATTGGGACAGTATATATTGTTTAATTAAGATGCATTCATGTGATCTAACAAATAGAGCTTAGAGAATTTGTTCTAGAAGCAATGAATAGTTTTAACATACCTGTTAATTTTTTTCAAATATCAGATGCCCTTTGTGCGCCTTTAGTAAGTACTGGATCAAATCAATTCGTAGTTGAATTACTCAAGTGAATGTCTGAAATGCCAAAATTGTGTTGTTGATTGAAAAAGGATCCATGTTGAAATGCTAATTACAGAACATTCTGTTGTGAAAACATTGTGAAAATGTAAAATTCTGTTTTATTTTGTACTAGTTCACTTTCTCATAAAGATGTTTCAGAGAGTTGCTTTTAAAGGAAGCTATTGCTATTTTTCTCTCAAAGGGACTTTGAAACTATGGAAGCAGTCAGAAAAGTGCTGAAGTATAGGCCCAGTGTTTGAAAATACAACATAGAAAAAAAAATTTGAGGGCTGGGGATTTAGCTCAGCGACAAAGCGCCTGCCTGGCAAGCGCAAGGTCGTGAGTTCGGTTCCTGGTACCGGAGAAAAACCAAAAAAAAAAAAAAAAAAAAATTGAAAGGCATATTTTAGTAATTGACTGTCGTCCACCATAAAGAAGTCTTGAGTTTTTATTTCCTCCAGAAGATTGTGATTTTGCATGACTCAAATCAACTGTCTCCTACATGAAAAGGAAGGAAGGAAGGAGAAAGAAAAAATGATTTTGAACAGACTTGTATGCTAATGGTCTTTTCTGGATAAACTAGTTGCCAAATGCCCAGTAACTGAGTATCCTTCAGTTAAGCAAATTAGACCCATGAAAACACAACACTATGGAAAATTTAAAACTATTAGAGAAGAAAAGTAGAAAACATCAAGTGCTATAGTAAATGCCTGGGTAAAACTTTTTTTTTTTTTGAGATAGGGTCTTGCTGTGTAGTAAAGGCTGGCCTTGAACTCACTATGTAGTCCAGGCTGGCCTCAAACTCACAGTGATCTTCCTGCCTTACCCTTCCAAGTGCTGGGATTATAGCCATGCACCACCATGCCTGGATGGACATTTTTAATTCAAGATACATTTTTTATGTGTATGACAAGCATCCTTACTTTCAATGTAAAGGCCTTTTATGCTTGCACTTGTGAAAGGAATTCATAAAAATTAAAGCTTTAAATTGACAAGGATCTTGAAAGTCCACAAGATAGAGATACTCTTCCTTTTTTGTATCTGTGGGTTATTATGAAAAAAACTGGTTACAGCCAGTAGTGTATTAGAGCATCTTCTACTGGCCAGAGAGCCAATTGTTTAAATTTTAGTAGTTTTGCATACAGATTCCATTAAGTTAAAACTCAATATATTATTTATTGGTCATCTAAACTTAAAGTGTCAGATAAAATGCTACTAACATAAGTGTCATACTTTTACCTATTATATTGTGAATAGCTCAAAAAACAAGAATGTGTTCTTTCATTACTCAGAAATTATCTAATTTAATAAAGATATTGTTGACATTGACATAAAAATATCAGTCAGTACAGTAATACCTTGGTTCTTGAACACTTGTGTTCATAAACAATTCAGTTTGTGAATAGAAGCATTTGGCAAAATTTTGCTTCTGTTTGCGAACTCTGGATTGGGTTATGAATGCAATCTTGGCCATCTTCCCCACTCTGACACATGGTTGTGACTTCCTTTAGTTAAGATTGTAGTTGCAGACAGACCTGTGCACATTTGCTATGAAGCTTTTTTAGTGTACTTTTTAAGCACATACAGTACTACACAGTATTATTCAATCCAGCATGGCTCCAAAGAAAGTACAGAGCAAGTGTGGTGGTAAGAAGAAAGTGCAAGGGCTGGGGATATAGCCCAGTAGCACAAGCACCTGCCTGGCAAGTGTAAGGTCCTGAGAGTCCTGGTACCAAAAAAAAAGTGCAGAGCAGTAATAAAAGTGACAAGAATGTGCAGAATGGTAATGAAGGTGACTAGAATGTGCAGAGCAGTAATGAAAGTAACAAGAAACTACAGAGCAGGAATAGTAAGATAATGATTTTGAGGAAAATAACCATTAAATTGAAGAAGGAAATTGTAGAAAAGATGAGTGTGGTTTTGTGTGACTGATCTGGCTTCACAGTACAAAATGGCGAAATCCACAATCTTAACTACAGTATTATAAAGAATAAAGATGCCATCAAAGGAGCTGATATGGCAAAAGAAGCTAACCAAGCAGAGGACACACATGCTGGAAGAGGTAGAAAAACTTAAGAGTGGATGAATGAGAAACAGATGGCCAGTGGTAGCATTAGTGAAGCTATGATCGGTGAAAAAGCCAGGAAATTGCAGTGATATACTGCAAGAAAATCCCTCTACAAGTGTGACAAGTAATGAATTTAAAGCCAGTGGAAGATGGTTTGATAAATTCCCAAAGAGAAGTGGCATTTATAGTGTGATAAGACATGGTGAGGCTTCTAGACCTGACAAGGCTGCTGCAGAAGGCTGCAAGAAAGAATTTGCAGAATTCACGAAGGCAGAAGGATACATTGCTCAACAGGTCTTCAACTGTGATGAAACGTGGCTGTCCTGGAAGAAGATGCTGAACAGAGGCTATATCATGCAGGAGGAAAAAGCCACTGCTGGGGACAAGCCCATGAAGGACAGATTGATACTTTTGCTGTGTGCTAACGCGCAAGCACTTACCTGAAAATTAAGCCACTACTGGTGTACCATTCCCAGACCCCTTGTGCATTCAAGGAACAGAACAAAGCCAGACTACCTGCCATGTGGAGGGCCAGTGTGAAAGCTTGGGTCACAGTGCAGTTGTTCATGGAATGGCTGCACAAGGTGCTTCACTTATAACAGAATTGTGCCTTTTTACTGTCTTTTTAAAATTATGTACTTTTAATTGACACAAAGGAATTGTACATACCTAGGAGGTACATTATGACATTTGAGTACATGTGTATGTATGTATATGTGTGTAGTGATTAGATCAGGGTAATTGCCTTTCCTTTTTCCATTACTTTTCCCTTTCTAAAAGTCATACTTCTAAAGCAATCTCAGCCCAGGCATGGTGGTGCATGCTTGTACAATCCCAGAACTCTGAGAAGCTAGGAAGGAGCAGTGCAGGCAGCTTAGCAACTTAGTGAGACCTTGTCTCAAAATAAGAAATAAAGGTGGGCGCAGGAGCTGGGAGGTGTAGCTCAGTGCAACCCTGGGTTCATTATCCAGTACTCTTACCCACCCCTAGCAATCTCTTCTAGGAAGTATTTTTTGATTATAAGAATGTTTTTACTTATGTGTATATATATTGTCTAAATGTGACTTTTTGGGGTTTTCTTATACACCCTTCAAAGTAAAAATCTAAGCTTCAACAATATGGCGATGGCTATATTCTATCTTGTGAATACTTGATAGCCAGCTATCACTGATTACATAATCTTTTTAAAATTCAGCCCAAGCACAAGCTACTTATATGTAAGTAGAAACGATTTGGAAGTTAGAGGTTAATGGTTTAGGGAAATATGAAGAAAAAGGATATTTGGATAAAATTTGTGATCTCATGAGTTTCTTGGATTTTATTTTCCTTAGTTGCACACTTGACTGCATTGATCATTTTATAGCTCGTTTTACTTTTTTTTTAATTCAAAGATTTCTATAGAATGGATTAGTAGGCTCTCTACTTAGTCTTTAAAAATCTCTTGGTTCAATACACTGTAATTAGTTTTTGTTAATTAAGTCACTCTCTCTTTTTCTTTCAGACTGAGGTAGTGCCATGCAGGAAGAAGTGGAGAGATGCAGAGGCCGAACCAAAAGGCCTGACATGGCGCTTTATGTCCCTAAAGCTCGTAGGGGTACAGTTCTCCTGAAGACACGTGATAAGGAAAAAGACTGTGGTTCTCCTAACTCCCTGATGAAAGAACAACAAAAAGAAAGTTATCTTTCCCAAAAGCAGATCTTTGAAGACAAACCCGAGGTTCAGAGTATTAACCCTGATAAGAAGGTGAATAATTGTAAAGAAGGAAAGAAATCTTCAACAAAATTAAGAAAAGACACCTACCTTCATAAAAGAAATAAAGAGAGGGTTTGTACTAAGAAAGGACTCACAGTATCCAGCGAAGTATTGTCGCAAGAACATCAGCAAAAAGTCTCAAATGCTGGGATTATGCCTAGAGTACCTTTACAAAGACATTTTAAACCAAAGACAGTGGAATGTTTGGAGGTTCATGATACAGATGTGACAGGATATGAAGGAATACTTCTACCACAGTCTTGTTCAAAAATTACTGAGGTTAATCAGGTTCTAAGCAGATCATGTCAGAATATGGAATTATGTGATTTCATTAGACATGAACTAAGTGGGGAAAACTTTGAAGACAAAGATTTGGGAAGCAGAACTGAAACTGATGCCAAAGTTGTGGAGATAATACCTCAGCTTCCTAGAGGTCTTACTGCTGTATTAAAACCTGAGAATGAGATTGTAACAGCAGAAGTATACTTGGATTCTGAACGTACACAACAAAGCATACAAATGCCAGATGGAACGTTGAAGCTCAGCAATGGAAGCATCACTGCTGCTTTTGTTTCTGGAAGTCCAGATGTTGTCACTGATCAGACTTGTGTAGACTTTGGAGTTGAGAATATAGCTGATGTAGCCAACAGTACAGATTTCATCTTGGGTCACAAAGGTGTAGATTCCATTCCTGAGACTCAGGCTAGCATTGCTCATAACAAGACTATGGTCAGCAAATTAGAGCACACAAGTAGCATTATTGATCCAGCAATGATTAGAGGATGTGAGGAGAATGACAGCACTGCTGATGAGTTATGTGGAAAGTATAAACCTCCTGATACAGCCGTCCTTGCTCACGAAACAGAAAATGGATCTAGGAGTGTAGATGACATTACTAGTAAAGCATATATGGTGGACATTACAGGTGCCACATGTGATCATATAAATGTAGGTAGTAGCCCTTGTGTAGTTCGACTAGCTGATACTTGTAGTGATACAAGTAGATTGTCAGAATACATAGAAATGTGTTCAGATGCAGCTCCTCCTCATTTAGTTAGAAGTGAGAATGACTCGGAAAATTTCAGCAACCTGACTTGCTCAGATACTTACGCTGAAAATATTTCATGTAGTTTTACAGAGTCAACAGGAAAGTTAATAGAGAGTGTGTCAGATTGTTCTTCCTCCTTACCTATTAAGAAGATTGCTGGTAGTAATTACAACACTTTCTTGGACTCTGAACTGCATATGTCAAATGGGACAAAAGAACTTTCAGGGAGTGCCTTGGGCAATGATCTGGATATTACTGGTGCTATAAGAGATGAATTACATGAACTAAGAATTGGTAAAGAGTTGAAAACAAAAGAACAAGATGACTCAGAGAATATAGAACTTGGTGTATCATTTCCTGTTAGAGAATCATCTATGGAAACATCCATGGAACTAAAATCAGCTGAAACTTCTCAGGTAGCAGAAAATACTGCTGTGGAGGAGAGCTGGGAATCTATGTTTAATGATGACGGTGACTGTGTAGATCCACGTCTTCTACAAGAGGTATGTTCACTTGAAGTTGATGTTTAGACAATTTATAAATTTGGGGAACTTACATTTGGAGGTAATTTTGATAGACCTTTTTTTATGTTCATCCATTCACTCATACTCAAGGGTCCCTGCAATAACCTGGCAAGATTGTAGATTGAGGAAGGAATAGATTTTTAAGTTAAAACATACAGAATTGAGCTCTATCTACAGTAGCCAAGCCTAAGAGATCTTACTGAATAGCTTAAGGATGAATTTAGTGGATTCTGGCTATCTGTTGAGGAAATACACAGGGAAACTTCTTTCAGAGGGCTTTTCTGTATTGACAGGATGTGTTTCACACGAGCCCACTTGGGGAAAGGAGAATAATTTATAACTGTTACTCATATTTACCTTTTTTAGTGGGTGTTGATATGTTGTTAAACACTGTAGAGGAGGCATGTCCAGCTTAGAGCCTGTTGGGTGTTTCCCCCTAGGGGCTTGCTGGTTTTTTTGCCCCTTTTTTTCTGAGCAAAGAGAAATTGTCTTAGGCTACTTACACAATATGTAATATAGTTAATGTAGATAAGTAATAAAACTTCCTTTTTAAAATTTTTATTATAAAGGCAAAAAGCAGTCCACACATTGGGTACACTTGCTATAAAGGGAAGGTGGTAGAGAAGGGTAAAAGACAGTATGTCTGTTTCTTAAGGGATTTATATTAAGTTGAATAAATGATTGCTTAGCATCCTAGAAAATATGAATGAATAGTAATACTTGCCAGTTAAGAGTGCATAAATCATAAAATATTGGATGGATTTGAAGGCCTGATACAAATTACTTAGTTCTTTTTATTTTTTTAATTTATACATCTAATTTTTATTCAACATTTAAATTCCTTACTATAAATTAAATCCATTAGTTGTAAATAGAACCACTCTCTTTCCCTCATTGTAGTAAGTTCGCATAACCTTTGCTTGAAAAACAAAAAATGATTTCCCTGTGATTCCCAGTTGTATAAATGAAGAAATTAAAGCTTAGTACTCAGACCATTAGGAAAGGCAGAATCAGGATGTCAATATAGTTGTGTTTTAAATCTACCTAGCATTTATGTTCTGTCTTTCCTCACCTGAAAGTTTTGAGCCACTTCAGAGAGCCTTTTAAATACTGAGCAATGAGTCTTTTGTTTCTGACAATTTGACAGTTTATGTGAAAGTACAGATAAATTATCATATGCCTGGGAGAGACCCTTGTGAGACTGAAGAGGGTAGCCTATTGGACAGAACTGATTTTCTATTACTGGGCAATCCCACCTCATTGTTAGGTGCTTACACAGAGTTTCATTACTTCCTACTGTTCAGTCGGGAAACATCACACCTTAAATACGCCTTAGAATGAACTGTAGAACAGAGAGTAACTATAATTGAGCATTGACGAACCTTGTTTGTTTGTTTGTTTTGAAACAAGGTTTCACTGTGTAGTTCAGGTTGGCCTTGAACTCACTATGTAGCTCAGAATGGCCTCAAACTCATGCAATCCTCTTGCCTCAGCCTCCCCAGTGTCAGAATTACAGGCATGCGCCTCATGCCCAGCACTCTTTTTAATTTGCATGCCAAATTGTATATGTAGGTGCATTTCTGTATAACTTTCACCAGATTCACAAAGTGAATCCAAAAGTGTGATTTTTGGACTAGCAGCATGAACATCATCTGGAACTTCTTAGAATTGTGAACTCTGTGGTCCAACAACAGGTATATTTATAACTTTTTTAGGTAACGCTGATCATGTAAAGTTTGTGTATTACCACTGCTCACAGGTAATACACAAATGCATATCAGAATTTAGGTGGAAATCTACAGATGGTAGTTGGCCCACAGTTAGAAAAACATATGTACAGAGGTTTGAGACCCAAATCAGGTGAAGAAATACTAATAGGGGAAGTTAGCTGAATTTAGAGGTTTTTAAGGATGAAAGCATTGAGAGAAGGCCTTAGTCTGAGAAAGGAAGCAGTTCACAGGAAGTGACAAAACAACTGGAGAAGACAGGTACACACACACACACACACACACACACAGAGAATAAGTTCCTCAAAATAAAGGGCATAGCATGCAGAGCTTTTTATACATGGTAGTAGTTACTAAATCTTTATTCATGGATGGAGATGATAGGACAGAGTTAGAGCTCTCTTTTTAAGGGTGATCTCCAGGGGCTTTCCTTTTTTTGTTGCTTAGGGTCTCACTCTGTTGCCCTGGCTGGTTTTGAAGTCCTGGACATAAGCAGTCATGCCTCGGCCTCTTGAGTGCTGTTGGGACTACAGGGGCATGCCACCTCACCTGGCTCCAGAGGCTTTCAAAATGTTATTGCTGCTGGAACTCAGATTGTGTGTGATAGCTTAGGGATATCGCTTATGACCAGTGAGGAGTGGTCAAATGTGCAGCTCCATTTTTAGGTGAGGTGCAAAAGAATTTAGGGAAAAACTTAAGTATTTTGAGGAGTGTAGTAACAAAGCAGATAGTGACATGACTTAAAGTTGGCAGTGGCAAAACAATGGAGTATGTAGCGTTTTAAGCTGAAGAGGACCAGTATGTGATGTCTCTTGGAGCAATGTACGAAGAGATGGGGTCTGTGTTGAGGGATGAAGATGGATAAAAGTAGAAAAGAGGGAGATAGATTGAGAATGCAAGTACCAGATTCAACTCTAACATATGTTCTCTTTTACTTTGAATTTTAAAAATGTAATATTAAAAGATGTCACAGATTTAATTATATTAATAGCTCTTTGGTCATTTTTACTCTTAGTTTATTATTTATATTGTTCCAAATATAATTTATTAAATGCTATACTAGAGTGCTTGTCTACCTTGAAATTTTTGCAGCCTAAGAGTTTCTTTGGCTTTTTTCCCAGCTGGCCTACTTATTGATAATGACTAAACATATAGAGGCCATATCTAATAAGCAGGAAGGTATGTGTAGAATAGGGTATGGTAAACAATGGCATGTGAAACAATTTACTGTGACATTGGAACTTCTGAAACTGCCTGAGGAAGCAGAGCATAGTTATTGAGCTCCCAGAACTACAATCCTTGATGAATCTCCAAAGGTTATCCTTACTCTCCTAAAGCCATGATACAGAGTACCCAAAAATTTAAGTTAGTAATTGATAAATAAGAGAACATTGGCATGTCTTCTTTAAGCCCTCTAAGATTTTGGTTCAAGATCACAGAAATTGTTCCCTAGCCTTTACTCTGTCCTGTATTGATCAGCAGGTTTATTGGAGTAGGATACCAGTATCATTATAATCATCTTGTTGATAAATACTGGCATCTGGCACCTTCATTAGCCATATCTGGTTTTTGTTTCAGTTTTTAGATAGAGATAAGTAAGAATATCCTGTATTGTAAAGCCTTCCATTCAGACAGTTTGTTTCAGAAGTCCCTTAAAGAGTGTATAACCTTGGAAAAAAGAGTAAAGGATTAGCATCTGTTCCTACCCTCCTTCTCTATATGTGCTAACACATTTTCACACTGTCTTCCCTAGTCTTTTGCAAAAATGCTATTCATTTTTAAGTAGAAAACCCAAAATAGAAATGAAAAGCTTACAGTCTAGCCACTTAAACCAAATTATAGCTATATATCATATTTCACCCTCTAGAGGCCTTGTAAATAGTTGGCAACCTATCACCTTTCAGTTAAATAGCAAATACTGAGCACTTGCAATCTGACAAAAATATGAATTGCAAATAGCTTGATATGTTACTACTATATTAAAAGCATTGTATTCCTTCACAGCCTTTGCTCTAAAGTTGCTTGCATTTTATTTGGGGAGACAGTATGTAACCATAGGACTAGATAATAACATAGCAATTTGAAGGGTAATTAATATAAAACAACATATGAAAGAGCCTTATCAGAGGTGTACTAAAACTAGTTGATTGTTTGATGAGTGACATACTGGCTAGCTCCAAAGGGAAATTAGATCTCCTAGGGCTAGACTTATTGATAGAACTTCATGATGGCAAGGCCATAAAGTTAAGAGATTACATTTCCCACTTCAGTATTCTGTGTTTTTAATTTCTTTTTTTTTTTTTTAATTAATGGACTATTTTTTGAGCAATTTTAGGTTTACAGAAAAAAATGAATAAAGGATACAGTTAGCACGTACCCCCTCACTTTTCTGGTACTATTTCTATATTTTCACAGTATTTTTATTTCAGCTCATTTAAAAAAAAATTGTAATTCATAATTTGATAAAGATTTCTGAATGTGTTATTGACTGCCTAAGTGGGGATGTATAGGTTCACTTTCCAAATGTTATACATTCTGATGCAATCTTTTGGGTCATCCAGTGAAGAAGCTTTTTGAATTATGTGCTGTATTTTTTGATCCTTTAGTGGATGATGAGTAGATCTCCGATTCACACACAAAGATTCCATTGCTTTTGTTTTCTTTTTTTGTTTTGTTTTCTCTCCTCTCCCCTCTTTCCTCTCTTTCTTCCTCCCTTCCTTACTTCCTTCTGCTGGGTGACTCCCAAAATTAAAAAATCTCACTTCTGAGCTCTGTTAGATTTGCTGCATAATTTTTTTCCTTCTGAATCAGCATACAAGCCAGCAGCATTTTAATTCTGATATTGTTTAAAAACTAAAGAAAAGTAAACAGTTCTGAGCTTACATTGTCAACACAAGCGGGCTTTTATTTAAGGAGTCTTTTTTTTTGAAGCTTCGGAGGTTTTATTTTTCTTTTTTTGGAGACAGGCAGCTTGGCCTTGGGCTCACTGTGTAGCCCAGAATAGCCTCAAACTCATGGCAATCCTCCTTCCTTAGCATCCCAAATGCTGGGATTACAGGCATGTGCCACCATTCCCAGCTTTTAGAGGTTATTGTTATCCCTTGTTCTGTCCTTTTTAGGGTTTTTTGTTTCCATGATCTGCATGAGATGTGGTATGTGGGGTATGGTTGGGGCACATGGAGAAGGGATAATGATATGACTCATGGTTATATCATTTAATTGTTGAGTGACAGTAGCAGGAAGGGGGATATG